CATACTGAAGGCTGTGTTCTTTGATCTTCATCAGTAAATATTTTTAAGTCCTCTTCACTTTCAGCAAGCAAGGTTATATCATCTGCATATTGCAGGTTGTTAATGAGTCTTCCTCCAATCCCGATGCCACATTTTTCTTCATATAATCCAGCTTCTTGGATTATGTGCTCAGCATACAGGTTGAATAAGTATGGTGAAAGAATACAACCCTGTTGCACACCTTTCTTAATTTTAAACCATTCAAGTGTTCCCATGTTCTGTTCGAAAAACTGCCTCTTGGTCCAGGTACAGATTTCTCATGAGCAAAATTAAATGTTCTGGAATACTCATACTTCTCATTGTTGTCCAGAGCTTGTCATGAGTGAGTTATATATATTCTTCCCAGTCGCATTCTCTGTAACTCCCACCAAATGGCTCTTCCTGAAGGGACTGGGCAAGCATATGATTCAGCTGTGAATTGACTGTTAACAGGGTTAATTGTGATTTTGTAAAAATTTGGAATTCTAACATGGGCATAAAATGAGCCATTTCAGAAGCAGGATGGAGGAAAACACACTACCATCAAAGGAAAGCCAGGAGTAAAGCCCATCCTTTGGACCTCAAGATCCCTGTGCACTGAACCTCCTCAACCTAGGGACAGAAAGCTGAGACACCAGAGGAGTAGCAAAGGAGCAGCAACACCAGACGGAAGCAAGAGCTAGAGCACAAAATCATTTGTATTACTATTTTGTTTGGTTATAAAATAAAGCTTAGCATAAATATTCCTGAAGTACACACCTGAGCCCATGGACAATGACCTAGCCACGGAGGTCTAGAGCTGAGAGTAAAGTGCCCAGCTGATATGAAGTGGAGGGAGATGCACAAGAACGTCCAAACTTGCAGATAGTACCCACTTGATCTAGCTTCGATGGCTTGACGCCCAGAACTTGACTAGAGGAAGATACAGAAATCTGGTGAAGCAAGTGTAAATTGCTACAATTTCACAAGCTTGACCTATACTTATGGATGTAGTAGCTCAAAATGCAACCAACTGAGAGGGAAGGAATCTTCACATCAAGGATCAAGCCTATCCCCTCAGTATACAGGGTTGATAGGGACTGGCAAATTAGACATTGGCTACCTAAAATGGGGAGTGAGGGGTGGGTCTATAAAGGCACAAAAGTGGCTGGCTTACAATTTTTCAAGGGGGACGTGAGTTTCAGAGTGTACCCGGAAAGGTAGAATCCCCACTAAATAGCTTTAATTTTGTCTAGATGGGGATAGGATTCTTTTGATTCAATAGTGAGTAATTGGTATCATGACTAATTGTGATTGTCACAACTGTGAATGTATTAGTTTTGTAACATAAAGGGGGGAGTGGAAAGATTTTAAATTCCAGGAACAGATGATCCTAAGACTATCTAGAGAGAAGAGCATGAGCAGAACATAGGATCTTAACCAGAGAAGCAGTGATACCACAGATGAAGGCAGAGGCGATGGCATAAAGCAACTGAGGACTCTAGACTCATGGAAGGAGAAAGGTCAAGTGCTGGCGGCCAAGAGACTGGCTTGCAGAATGTGCCTTTTGGTTGATTATATACTCCTGAGTGTTTTTGTGTACATCAAAACAACAACAACAAAAATAAACCAGAAGGAATCGAATAAAATACTGTAAAATGAAAAAAAAAATTTACTGGTCAATCATTCAAAATCAAAAGAGCAATATACACCTAAGGACAGGGGATGGGAAGGAGGATGGAATGGAACTAGGAACCACAGGGAGAAAAAGGGATAATTGTTGTTTCATGGAGGGGATTGCAATCATTGAGATGAAACAAAGTATGTGATTTGTTGAACATAAAACTAATGATCTTGGCTATAAACCTTCACTAAATTCACAAGAAAAAGTTAAGGGGTAAAAAAAAAAGGAGAAAGATTGAAGGAAGCCAAGACTATGGCCTTCAATGACCTTTCAGGTCTGGAATGGAACTCACCTTCATGGTCCAATTTTCAGCAAAGCAGCAGAGAGGTATATAGAGGGGTCAACAACACCTAGTTAGAGGTGATCAGAAAGAGGGTAGAAGGAAATAGAAACACAGGGAGGAAATATTTGGATCACTGTTGTTACATAGAGGAGATTGCACTCACTGACATGAAACAAAGTGTATGTCTTACTGAATGATGTAAAACTGATGATCTTCTCTGTAAACATTCACTCAATTCACAATAAAAAGTTTCAAAAAAAGAGAATATTCCTAAAGAACAAAAAGCTAAAACAGACTATTAAACTATCACATTAAAACAGTAATTTCTTTGTAAAATTTCAAATGTTATTGAACTCAAGAGTATAATAAAGATTCAAGTACTACATTTATAACAATTTTGCATTCAATAGCAAATCATTCTGCTTAGGTCTTAGCTGTTTCAATGGAAACAGAGGAATTCAAGAGGTATATACAAGGATGAAATAAAAATTGTCTGCACTCTGGTTATATTAAAATGCCATCCACATTCACAGGTGATGACAACATTGAGTGGGCACATGAAATGCTTCTGTTGAATAAACAACTGACAGTGGATTATGTGATAAATCACTTGCAAATCAGCATGGCTCTGCCTATGAAAGAAGCCACGGGAGACTTGGATTTCAAAGAAGAGTATAAACAGAAGCATGGAGGAAGATGAAAGTCTCTTTTTAAAAAAAATCATTACTGGAGATGAGACATGGATGGATTCATCAACGTGAGCTTGAAGGTAAACGGCAGAGTATGAAATGGAAACATCCTCAATCTCTGAGCAACAAAAAAAAAACCAAGAGTCAACCATCAGCTGGAAAATTGATTCTTACAGTTTTCTGGGATCCTCAAGGGCCAGTATTTGAACACTATCAGGAAAAAGGTTGAACAATCAACAGTGCTCATTACAGTGAGACGCTCACTGAACAGCTGAAGCCTGAACTTCAGATTAAACACAGAGGACCTACCACTCCCCACCAGCATTGTGATCTCGCATGACAACGTCTGCACACATCTGCACACACTGTTGTCACTCTGCAAAGACTTCGTTTTGAGGTGTTAAAGCTTCCTCCCTATAGTCCTGATCTGGCTTCCCTGAAAGCAGCCCTTCGAGGATGAAGATTCACCTCTGATGAAAAAGTGAAGACAGAAGTGCATTCATGGCTTGCAGCTGTGCCTAAGACATTTTTTAATAAGGGAATATAAAAGGTTGTTGAAAAATGGACAAAGTGTATTGAAAAGCGAGGAGATTATGTTGAAAAGTGATGTATTTGTCTTTTTTTAAAGTAGATTAACCCCTACACTATCAGAGGTAGCGTAGTGGTTACGAATCGGGCTGTGAACCTTAACATCAGCAGTTCGAAACTACCAGCGGGGGAAAGATGAGGCTTTCTATTCCTGTCAAGATTTACAGCCTTGGAAACCCTGTATAGGGTCGCTATGTGTTGGAATTGACACTACGGCACTTAACAACAACAAAGTAGATTAAAATAAATTCTACAGCCAGAGTGTGGATAATTTTTGAGTAAACTTAGTACTTACCTCCCCCTCATACTTAGAATGAATACACACGAATTTCAAATAAAAAGATGAAGTTCTTTAAATTAATAAAACGGAAACTTTCAACATTATGGAATCTAAAGTGAAAAATTAATCGACTAATTCCTTCTATCTTTTATGCAAAATACCCTCAATTTTATGACTGATACCCTGTTTTCTCTTGCACATTCATTTGAAAATAAAGGTTTCATAATTTGACTTACTTCTGACTCTGAATCCTTAATAGAAGGCTGAGAAACTTTTGATGCATTCACATTGTCGCTTATTTCTATGCTTTCCCGAGACTGTGACGGTGACTCCGCTTCTTGGACGGGATGACATTCATCCCCTGACTCATCACTCTTTAATGGAGACAGATCAGTTGTCTTATTCTTCTCAGGCAGAGAGGTGGGAGAAGCACTCTCTCTACGGAACTGCTGCAATGTTGTTCTTGGACAAAAACTTCCAAGGTGTCCAGACCAACTAAAACAACTTAGAGTCCTCAGAGTAGATGGTGAGATGGTCCTTGTGAATCTGTTGGTCTTCAGAGACTGAGACTCTTCATCAGCATCCAGAGTTCTATCATCTGAAATTTGATCACTTGAGTTATACGCTATACTTGTATTAACTTGTTTCTTGTCATTGAGACAATCGGATTCGTTCTGATTGATCTCTTCATCTCTGACAGCACTTTCACATAAAGCCTGGCTACTCTCTTTCTTGGATACACCGTCAGCAAAATCTTGAGAATTGCAGAAAAACCTAAGGCAACAAAATGATAGATGAGTGTTTCAGAGGTTTCTCACAAGTTTTCTCTTCAAGATTCAAAATGTTTCAGTTTCTTTAAAAGAAAGGTACATGCTTTCATAAATAAAGGAAATACAGGTTTTAAGCTTCAAAGTTTAAATTTCGATCATGCCAACATTTACACATTTAATCATTATTCATACAATCAACAAGACCATCTAAAAGCGACTATCTATATACACATGTATTTGGAGCATACGTAGGAAAGTAAGCAAATCATGGTAGAAAATCATAGAAAACATTATTAAACGGAAGTATCAAAATGTGAGGCTAATGTTTCTCAACATATCCTCCATTCAGGTCTACACATTTGTGAAGGGGGTATTGGTGATTCAAATGTACCAACTGCTCCTTAGAAACCCTAGAAGGGTTCAGGAAAGTTAAATACCACGTGAAGGATCACTCAACTTGTAAGATGACAGAGCAGAATACTAATCCAGGGTTCTTTTCACTCCACATCACTAATGACTTGGAATTCCTCCTATCACCAGTACTAACACTATGACTCTAGGAACATTTCTTAACCTCTCAGAGGCTCAATCTCTTAACCCAGCTTCTCGTTTTATTTGCTCAGCATACAGGTTGAATAAGTATGGTGAAATAATACAATCCTGTCATACACCTTTCTTATTATTACTTTAAAGGAAGCTAAAGAAGAAAAGAAATACTCCTTGCCAGCATCTCTTAATGTACTCACTGAGCAATTTACTATTGATATATGTTAGAGGCAGTATTGGTAAGCTATAAAGCAGCTGGGTATAACCTGAAATTTGGAGATTTTATTAAGTTTATAGAATGGTTAAATGGGCACTCTTCCAGAGATACAAAATTGGTATTCATTCTAATTGTCTTCAAAGAGCAGTAAAGCATTAAGCAGCAAGATAGAAACTTTTCTCTTCCCAATGGAAAAATGGACTATCACTTCCTAAAATGTCCCCAACTGAGAGGAATAAGTTTTCCAGGACTTATTCGTCAGTAAATATTACCCTTGTTTCCCATATTTTACAAAAGTATCAACGCATGCCTGCCTCTAATGAGGTTGACTAGCAAGAAAATAAAAATGATCACTGAATTGTTACGTGAATAAACCAAAACCAGACTAAACCCATGGTCATCAATTTGATTCCAAATGACAGTGACCCCACTTGACAGAACAGAAGTGTGGCACAGGGTTTCCAAGGCAGTAATCTTTATGGGGGATTCTAGTGTGGTGCTGTAGGATAAGCACTGGACTGCTAACCACAAGGTTGGCAGTTCAAAACCACCAGCCACTCCTCGGAAGCCCTACAAAGAGTCGCTATGAGTTGGGCATTTAACAACAACAATCTTTATGGAAACAGATCGCAACATCTTTCTCTCATGGAACAGCTTCTACCTGCTGACCTTTTGGATAGTAGCTGAGCATTTAAACACTGTGTATCTGGGCTCCTTGTATTTTGAGTACTTCGTGGAAAAGACTGGATGGAAAAGAGTTTGAAATATCATCTGAAATGAGTCTCATTCATTCATTGTTCATTCATTCATGTCCATTTCAATCATCATGGTTAGACAAGGTTTAGGTGAAGACTACTCTATTCAGTTTGAAACACATGCACACAATCCATTTTATGCCTTTAAAAGGAATATTAGTGCTAGTAAATTATATTTTTCTTAGAAGTATTCCATCATGCCTAAATAATTTCTGACACTTAATATCCCTATCTCTGTCATGGCAGTAAAATAACTGTTATACTATGTTTATCATGTCAGGCACTGTTTTCGGCACTTTACTTACAGTAACTAAATTAAAGAACTCTAACACTGTTAGAACAGTTATCTCAGTTGTTTTTTCAATGAGGAAACTGAAACACCCAGGATTTAACTTGCCCAAGTTGAACATCTAATGAGTGGAAGGACAGGATTCAAATCTATACGGCATGACTCAAGTTCAAATTCTTAAGCGAGACAACAACAAGTGATCAAGCAACATCATGATAAATGGAGAAAATTTTGAACTTGTCAAGGATTTCACTTTAGTTGGATTTACCATCAACGCCCATGGTAATAGTAGTCAAAAAATCAAATGATGCATTGCATTGGGCAAATCTGCTGCAAAAGATCTATATAAAATGTTAAAGAGCAAAGATGCCACTTTGAGGACTAAGGTACACCTAAACCAAGCTATGGTATTTTCAATCGTCTCGTTTGCTTGCGAAATCTGGACAATGAATAAAGAAGATTGAAGAAGAATTGATATATTTGAATTATGGTGCTGGAGAAAAATAATGATTATACCATGGACAGAATAAACAAATGTACATTGGAAGAAGTACAACGAGAATACGCCTTAGAAACAAGAATGGAGAGATTTCACCTCATATACTTAAAATCTGTCATCAGCAGGGGCCAGTCTTAGCGAAAACATCATGCTTGGTAAAGGAGACAGTCAGTGGGAAAGAAAAAGACCCTCAGTGAGATGGAATGACAAGTGGATTTAATAATGGACTCAAACATAGCAAGGACTGTGAGGATGGCACAGGACTAGACAGTGTTTCATTCTGTTCTATGTATAGAGTCATGTGAGTCAGAAACAAGTTATACTGACCCTTCAATATCTTATCATTGCTCATCTGGACAATGTCTCAATGAGTTTTGCTCCACTTTGGGCTTCTCAAATCTATTCTTCAAATGGCACTCAAGAGTAGTGCATCTAAAACAACAATCTAATCAGAATCTTCCCCTGATTAAAATCCTCAAAGTATTTCTATCACATCTAAAATAAGACTCAAGCTTCTGAGCTTGACATACAAGTCTTCCGTGAACTAGTCACTAGCTTATTTCTGTTTCATCTTCATCCACCTTTACCCAATTTGCACTGTGGCAATAATAATAATGTTGTTGTTATTGTTATGTGCTGTGGAGTTGGTTCCGACTCATAGAGACCCTGTACAGGGAGGCTGTAAATCTTCATGGGAGCAGAAAGCCTCATCTTTCTCCTATGGAACAGCTGGTAGTTTCGAACTGCTGACCTTAAGGTTGGCAGCCCGACTCGTAACCACTACGCTACCAATAGCAATGATCAATCAGCAAGTAATGTTCCCCACACCCACGCATTTGGACAAACTGACTCTACAGAGAAAGTACTTGGCTACATTTATTGACTGGTTCACCCCCTAAAGTCACACCAAAACCACCGACATCCAGTCAATTCCAACTCTAAGTATACAGTACAACTGTTCCCTAGAGTTTTCCCAATGCTATAAATCTTTACGGGAACAGACAACTCTTTGTTACTTCTGCAGAGTGACTGGTGGGTATGAACTAGCAACCTTTCAGTTATCAGCCCAACTTATAACCCATTATGCCACAAGAATCCATTAGTTACTTAAACCTAAGTAGCAACTTAGGACTCTTACTCTCTCACCCTTTGCAACCACTTCCCCAGCATCAGATGCCTCTTTAATACCACAAACACCTTATCCATAAGTTTATCACTATACTATACTAAAATGTTTTGTTTATATAACTTCTTGGAAAGCTAGACTAGATTCTCGAATAGAGACTAGTCTTTCTCATTTTTATAACCATAGTACCTATTATACAGATCTCAATTAATAGTAAAACACCAAAAGGTGGAACCTGCCACAGTCATCTTGAGAGTAAACGAATGGCTTTAGAGACAATAAAACATTCATGTTGCAGAAACCTAACTGTGGCTCATCTTTTATTTATTTTTTCCAACCAGTGTACAACCCCAAGGAATCTCCTGCTTTCCAGGCTGTTGAAGCCACTTGGAGGTTGTGAGCCAAGGGGAGGAGGAGCTACATACAAGAACCCCACAATGGCAGGCATTGATTCAAATCTGCAAAGTCAACTCTGGCCAGCCCTGGACTGGCCTCATTAGGAGATGGGATTCAACTGGTGCAAGGGGTAGACAAAAAAAAAAAAGGGAAGAAATGGAGGTGGGTAATCTGTGTGGGCCCATAGAACATAGCATGGCATAATGAACTTTCTCAGGAGTCTATGAAGGTAGGAGGCGAGTAAGTGGCACAGCATACAACTAACTAGCAAAAAAAAGCCACTATATTTAATTTTCCTCTGTGTGGGCTGTTTTGTTTTTGTTTGGTTTCCATCTTCTTGCATCACATGACAGGAGAAAGCAACTGCAGCCATATAGCCAAGCCACAGCTGTACCCTCTAAAATCCCACAAATTTGGCAAGAGTCAATACCAGCAGCTATATACTAGAACAGTGATTATAAACAACTTTGCCTAAATCCACTCTGCATTGAACTGTATAAATAGTAAACAAAGAGGCTCATTTCCTGATGACATGCACAAGGAGCAATTGGTGAGTGCTTAAGAACACACTAACATATAATCATCAGCTTAATACAAATACACCACTATGCAAAAAAGCAGGAGAAAATTTCTGTTCACATGAAGAAACAAGACAGAGTAGCTCAAACAAATGACCAAGAGGCAGAGCTATGAAACCATTTTGAGGAAGAAGAGGCGCTAGAACTACCTGAAAAATAATTCAGGAGAACGATCCTGAACAAAAGGTCCGTAAAATAAGAACAAATTCAGAAAAGTGCTATAGGAACAACCTAACAAAATAGATACAGCATTGGAGATAAAGATCAGAAATCGACAAAACTGAATCAATGGAAGCCAGAGATAGAGAGCTTGAAGATAAACCTCTCAAAAAGACAGAAAAACATTAAGAAAAAATAATGAGAAAAAAAGAAATCTGAATAAAGATTCCTGAGAAACAACATAAAAGGGAATAGACTATGGGTGACTGAAATTCCAGAACAGAAAGAGACAAAGAAAATCACAGAAAAAATAGCTAAAATCTGATGGAAGAAAATTTCCCTAACATCATGAAAGATGAGATGATAAGCATTCAATAAAGTGAACAAATCCAAAACTGGATCTACCTAAAAGAAAATCACCAAGACATATGATAATCAA